TCGCACTGCAGTTGCACAATGGGCTATTGGCGACGGTGTGGGAAAAATTCCTGAGAATGATCCGGAGATCTGGAGACTGGTTAACAATTAAAATAGTAATCATGAGGATTCAGAGCTGCTGAAGGCAGCAGGAACAAACGTAGAACCTAAAAACGTTGAGTTGGGTATAGAAAGAAAGATGTGGAAAAGTGAAGTGGTCAGTTTATGTAGACAAGTGTGCTGGTCACTGCAAGCGGCTAGTATGACTGTAATCAGTAAGCGGGTGGGTGAACACTTTGATCAGTTGGCGTAAGGACCGAGGGTGCGTGATATTGGTTCCCGTTAAACTTTTCTACCGTAAAGTGCACGACTTCGCGCAGGTCATCGGGCTACTAAAGCAGGGGAGCCATCCCCTCTGCAGAGGATCAAAATTGCGATGGCATGTCTTCGGATCATCCTCAGGTATGTTTCCCAGACAGTCACCAATAGCCCATTATGCTGCTCTAGTGTGACGTAAACAAAGTACCAACCTACCTATGAAGCGGATAGTGTATTACGTAACAATGTCTTCAAAATAATTAGAATTTGCAGCAGCAATGCTGTTAGAGTAGTCCCGCAGTGGACTGATCGTTAAGACACGGTTCTCAGCAGATCACCGAAGTCAAGCATCACTGGCTGCGGTCAGTGTGCGGGTGGGTGACCACTTGGATCAGTCTGCGTAGGGACCGAGGGTGTGCGGTATTGGTCCTCGTTAAACTGTGCTACCGTAAAGTGCTCGACTTCGCGTGCAGGCCTTCGGGCTACCGGAACGGGGTGCCATCCCCTCCGCAGAGGATCAAAATTGTGATGGCATGTCTTCGGATCATTCTCCGGGATGTTTCCCAGACCGTCGCCAATAGCCCATTGTGCAGCTCTAGTGCGACGTAAATTAACAACAACAGCTGTTAGAGTAAGGATATAATTATTAGACACCCGTCCAAAAATATTAATTGGTATCAGGTAAAACATTGTTTTATGTGTTTCAAAGCCCGCAGCGTCAACTGTTAATGGATTCTGTAACTAATCTGAATATTTTGCGTGATCAAAATCTGTTGTCTTGAGCAGAATGTGCAATTCCATTTCTGGTTGTTTTTCTTAATTGAATTTTCAAGTAGTCGATCATTTTTGGGTACCCCGGTATATTGATAATTATATTTTGATAATACTGTTTCAACACTTTCCAAAAGTTCTCGAAAGGAGTAAGCAATCTTTTTTTTAATTAAAGTGCTAGTTTTCATTTTAATTTTTAGTATTAAAGAGTTGCTGACTTAATTGAAAAGCACAAATAAAACTTAAATTTTAAAAAAAAATGCTCAACCTTAAAGTTATATATCTAATACATAAGATAGTAACATTTTAGTCATGAATTAAAATTAACAGTCGTAGAAACTGAGTAATGTAAATTGTTATGAGAACAACTGAAAAATCTAAGAGATTTCCCTTAGTAGTACTTCATTTATGTCACACTACAGCTGCACAATTGCCTTTTGGTGGTATTTTGGGAAACATCTATGAGGATGATCCGATGGCATGGTATCACAATTATGATCCTCTGCAGAAGAGATAGCTCTCCCGCTTTGAAAGCCTGACGCCCTGCGTGTGAAGTCGAGCCCTTTATGGTATAACAGCAAAACGAGGACTGATACCGCACATCCTCAGTCTCTTCACAGGCTTATCAAAGTGGTCACTCACCCGCTCACTGACCGTTGTTAGAAATTTCTGCGTTTTGCGTTCAATCCACTGTGGGATCAGTATTCGCTTATAAAGTGATAAAATTATGTATGGTAGAATTATTTAAAAAAGCGATAACAACGTAAAGGTATTGTCCATATTTTAAGTAAGTGACAGGCTTTCTACTTTTTCAATACACTGAAACAAGAATTTTTGATTGAGTCATATAGAGAAAAATAGTGCTTTCGGTTGACTATAAGCACTTCATTATATAACCAGAGATTATGCGGCGCACATTCAGGGCTACGTCGGAAATGAAACTCGTCATTTTTGCGCTTCCCAGAGTTTGAAAGAAGACTCCAAATTGCCAAACTGCAGCACCATATTGAAGTTAATATTAACCTCGTTTACTCTAGTTTATATTTACGTCCCTCAGTGGACTGATCATTAAGACACGGTTCCCAGCAGATCACCGAAGTCAAGCATCACTGGCTACGGTCAGTGTGCGAGTGGGTGACCACTTGGATCAGTCTGCGTAGGGACCGAGGGTGTGTGGTATTGGTCCCCGTTAAACTGCTCTACAGTAAAGTGCTCGACTTCGCGTGCAGGTCGGCAGGCTACCGAAGCAGGGGTGCCATCCCCTCTGCAGACGATCAAAATTGTGATGACATGTCTTCGGATCATCATCATGGATGTATCCCAGACCGTCGGCAATAGCCGATTGTGCAGCTCTAGTGCGACGTAAATTAACTGCAACAACAACTACAACAGCATATATATATACATATATAGTGCATGATTTTGCCAGTTTTGACAGCTTCTCTGTCTCAGACTTGGATCTCAGTTTTTAGGAAATCATGGCTTCCATTTTATGAGAAAAATCTGCTGACTTGTATACATCGTACGAAGAATACGCTGATTATTGATTTATCGTCATTAACAAAAAGGCTCACATCTCTTAGACATTTCTTAAAGAGAAAATTGATAAAATAAAATGTTCTGCGAATATAGTGATATTTCCTATAGTGATATATTTTCCACGCATATTACCCATCCTACTTTGCATCAGAGTACTTATCACCTGGTCACATGATAGCGGAAGTTTTAATCTTATTCTATATCTTCAACTTGTCCCATAGTGGACTGATCGTTAAAACACGGTTACCAGCAGATCACTGAAGTCGAACATCATAGGCTACGGTCACTGTGCGGGTGGGTGACCACTTTGATCAACCTACGAAGGGACTGAGAGTGGGAGATATTGGTCCTCTTTTAACTGTTCTACCGTACACGAATGTCGTCGAGCTACCCAAGAAGGGTTGCTATCCCCTCTGCAAAGGATCTAAATTGAGATGGCCTGCCTTCGGTTTATATCCAGGGATGTTTTCCAAACCATCACCAATAGCCCATTGTGCAGCCTTAGTTCGCCGTAAATAAACTACAACAACAATATCTTAAACTTAAAAGAATTATTAACTTGTTTTTGTAGTTCATTTACGTCGCACTAGAGCTGCACATTGGGCTATTTGCGACGGTCTGGGAAACATCCCTGAGGATGATCCGAAGACATGCCATCACAATTTTGATCCTCTGCAGAAGGCATGACAACCCCGCTTCGGTAGCCCTACGACCTGCAAGCGAAGTCGAGCTCTTTACGGTAGAACAGTTTAACGAGGACCAATACCGCGCACCCTCGGTCCCTACGCAGACTGATCCAATTGGTCACCCACTCGCACACTGACCGCAGCCAGTGATGCTTGACTTCAGTGATCTGATGGGAGCCGTGTCTTAATGATAAGTCCGCAGCGGGACTTATTAATTTGGGGAATTTCGTCAGCTTGCTTTGATTATTCGGAATTAATGGGATTTGATAATTTTGGCTGAAGTCAAAATACTGTCTTTAGAATTACACCATCTTATTCTTTTATTCTATGAATAAAAGAATGAATGAATTTACTTCTGGGGTCCTACTTCTAAATTTGTAAGTTTAATAGTAAAAAAAAAATACATTTTGGGTTTTTTCTGGCTAAGGGAAATTTATTTTTTTTCCAACTGCTTCGAGGCATGTAGGTGATGGGTTCAATTCCTTCTGTAGCACCTGAGGTAATTCATTCTTTGCGATGCTTTTTTCTTCTTTTGTACAATACGTTTTTCGAAGCTATTTCAAAACAATTTATGTATGAATATATACAACACGTTTCATAGATTTTTGTCAAATAAAAGATATAATAGAAAATGAAGTGAGAAAAAGTAAGTAAGATATCACATATTATAGAAAGACCGAGTAGCGATCATAACGAAGTTTCAAAGAGGCAAATTAAGGAAGGAGGGAAAGGTCCAAACACTATTTTGAAGTTTTAGAACAGTAAAATAAAACTTTTTTATCATTTTGCATACTTTTATTTAAAGTATTACAATTGTAAGATGTTGTTGTTGTTGTTAATTTACGTCGCACTAGAGCTGCACATTGGGCTATTGGCGACGGTCTGGGAAACATCCCGGAGGATGATCCGAAGACATGCCATCACAATTTTGATCCTCTGCGGAGGGGATGGCACCCCCGCTTCGGTAGCCCGACGACCTGCGTGCGAAGTCGAGCACTTTACGGTGGCACAGTTTAACGAGGACCAATACCGCACACCCTCGGTCCCTACGCAGACTGATCCAAGTGGTCAACCACCCGCACACTGACCGTAGTCAGTGATGCTTGACTTCGGTGATCTGCTGGGAACCGTGTCTTAACGATCAGTCCACTGCGGGACTACAATTGTAAGATAATTTCGGTGCTTTTTTTCTTAACTGCTGAGGAGCTTTTTTGAAATTGTTTATTGGTGGTGGACGTTTTCCCAGCCATTATCTTAAATGCATGCAACCATACAATCCTGAAAAGGAACGAAAATAATAATAAGAAAATAAAGAAATAAATAAAATTTCTATAACCAATGGTTTAGTTAAACGGGAAAGCTTTAGTTAAGCCATTAAAAAATGTTTGCTAGTTCCTACGGAAGCTGTGGGAATAATAAGAGCTCCGTAATATCTCTCTCTCTACCTNTTCACATTTCTATAATACTAGAAAAAAAATATTTTGTCGGACACTATAAAACACATTTTTTTCCTTTGTTTTAAAAGAATCTAATAAAATTCGATTAAAGTCATATAAATTATTAATATACAATTAATAAAAACTAAAGACCTACTGGAATCTCAATGGGAAGTTCATTTTAAATGATAGTTTTTATTTCTTCCTTTAGTTCCGCCCTTTCACAAATTCAGTCGATTGCTAATAGATGGCGCTGTAGCAAGGAACAACCTTCAGATTGTACGGAAAGGGAAAACTAGTGCGATTTTACTTTAGAAAGATATTAGCCTTCTCTCGACGTAGTTTCAACGGGATTTAAATTGAGTGTTTTGACGTTCGAGCGAAGCATGGTGCGCATGGGGTTGTTTTGATATAAAATTTTGATAAGTTTGTCGATTTCATGAAATTTTAAAAACTTACCTTTGCTTCAGAAGTCAGGAAAATTATTTTTCCTAGAAAGAATATCAAAATTTTAAAAGAAATTTCGGAAAAATATGACTTTGATCTCAGAAGTAAAAAGAACAAAATGAAAATTTGGTGAATTATTTAGTGCAATTTAAAGTGGAATAAAACTCATATTACTTGAAAGAAAACTCTCAAGATCCGGACGGATTTAAATCTGAAATTTATTGACACTGAGTGATTTTCAATCAGTAAGTTCAAATTTTATTTAACTTATGATATTAAAATAATTTACTTATTGAAACATCAAAATATTTCATTAAAATTTAAGGAATCTAATTCGCAACCAAGATACTTGAAAATAGATTGGTATTAAAAATTCGAATGATGCTCAAAGTATTATAGTATTGTGGAAAAGATAAGTCATATTTTAAATATTCAATTGATACAAATTAATTTTTATGTATGTCGAACTGAAGTTTCAATTAAAAAATTATTATAATTTTACGTAAAAATAATAAACTGACAGGTATATTTGAAAAGATATAATCTATGTTTAAAAACTCATATTTAGTAAAATAATATGTATTTGGTCGCTTGAAAAGATTGATTTTTGACAAACTATGTACGATTGCAATACTTTAAGTTTCAAATATTCGCGGAATAAGATAAATCGCGCGATATTGTTTCCCAAATTATATTATAATATGAATGTTATTTTGACTATTTCAATTTAAAATGAATGGCATATTTAGGAAAACTAAAATTATTTTGTGAAAATTGAATTGAAATTTTGAACAAAATGTTCGAGAAACTAAATACACATTTAGATATTTTCAAATTGTCTATTTGTTTTTCTTTTTGTTGTTTTGTGATACGTCTCTGGTATTTATTTATTCTATAATTTGCGAAAATTTTAAGATTTATTGTAAAAATTATATGCAATTTAAAAAAAATTAATTTTGTTCCTGGTTCTGTAGTTTTAGTCTAAAATTATAGCATTATAAAATATATGCTTTAAAATGCTTCGAAAGGAATTCTTTGAGAAATAGCGGAAATCTGTTCTACGCACCTATGAGCGTCTTTGGTAGTTTAAACAGAGTTAGAATATTCATTAGCTGTATGCCATTTGGACTTATTTTAAGCACTCAGGTTTTTAAGTAATTTATAATACATACTTATTCAAAATGCGCAGTTTTGTTAAATATAAAAAATAATTTTTTTAATAATGATTTGAAATATCATAAGAAAATTAATACATTTTGTATAAATAAATTATTTTTGTTTATTCATTCGTTTCTCTTTTTTTTCTTCAAAGTTTTCGTACTCTATTTTGTGAGAACATTTTTCGTTGATAAAGTACTGAAATTTCATTTTATATTCATTTGAACCAGCCTTTTTTTTGCGTTTTGGTACAATATTTTTCTCATTTTAATTTTAACTCGAAAGCTTATTTTGGAACTTAACATTTTTATAATGATGACCTTTTAAGTAAAAATAAATTATTTTTATTTAGCATTAAAAATAAAAAAAAGTTTTCTGATCCAAAATATTTTTAAATTGACACTAATACTAGCGAATTGGATAGAAATGTGAAAATTAGGAATTTTGATGGAAAATTATAACTATGTAATATATGTTTGTCTATCTGAAAAAATACATATTTTTAAACTATTGACAGATTTTTGGAATGAACTTCTTATTCTTCGGTTTTTTCCTACTAAAACTTGAAATGTGTTAATACTGACAGAATTCTTAGACCCAGAAAACTTTAGATTCATACTGGTCGTAAATCGAAACCTTAAAAAAAAATTAGATATTTTATAATTACTTTCTTTTAGCTAAAAATATTTTAAAATTTTCAACATCTATGAAATTAATTGTTAAACTAAGAATTCTTTAGTATATTTAACTTTAAGAGATAAAATGAGACAGATTGTGGTTGGCTAAACTTTTTAAATTTATTTTGACTCTATTTAACTTGCCGATTTTTAATGTAAATTTTTTACCATAATTTTTTTCTTTTGAATGTTTGACCTAACAAATTTCGAAATTTTATACTCCCAACAAAATTGTTTTCATACTAAACTATCAAAAAGAAATATATACTTTTAGAAATTTTGGTGCCTGTGAGCCACGGCTGCAAGCCTTTTTATGAAGCAAAGTTGAATCGTATTTTTGTGCTAATTAAATCAAATTTAACGTGATCGCACCTTACTGCAAAACTAAAATTTACTAACAGAGCACAGAGCATTTTTATGAATTTTAAGAAAATATTCAAACAACACAAAACGTATTTTACGCATGTAATTGTAAATGTTTGCGATATTAGGAAACATTTTGTTAGTAATATGTCTTAGCATTATTACAGTATCACAAAGGAAAGATCCTAATATACGTTGTAAAAAAGTTAATATTAGTTTTCTGCATTTAAATGTACATAATATATAAACTCCACAATTATTTTCATTTTTATATCTGGTACATCAGAAATTTATGTAGATCCGTTGGATACAGTAGCCACTTTTTCTCGAGATTTGTTCAAAGCATGTATCAGATTTATATTAAAAAAAATTAATCTGGTTATAAAACTAGCGATGTTAGATCCCCCACATAAAGTCATTGATAAAATATCAAGTGATAGTCATTTTCCTGTTAGCATTTGCTCGTGTCTGACCACTTTACCCAGGCTGCTTTCCTTACCTGCTTTGTTAAATTTTCTTCTGTCATTTTTGTTTTATACGTATATATTTTCTTTATATGCATAAAATTTCTTTTCTAGTTTGATAAAAAATACGCAGAACTTTTGACTGTATTCTCTGGTTAACAATAGATGCATAAAAAATATGCTTCAAAAGTAAATTAAAATTATAGAAATTTAATTAAAAAGATAGTTTTTAAGTTTAGAAAGTATCGCATAGAAATATATTACAGAAACAGAAATTAATTTTTATTTCCCAAGTGAATAATAATACTTTGAAATTTTAATGAGAACAGAAATTTAGTTTTTACAACAAAGGATTTGACTTTTTTTTCAAGCAGTTAATGCTAATTATTTATTTCAATTTCGAATCAAATATTCTACGAGTTTCCGACAAATCATTTAAATTCTTTAAACTGAATTCGAGAGAGAAACTTATTTCTATTTCAAGTGATCCTTCAAGACTTGTTGCTTTGTAATTTTAATGAACGAAGTTCATTTAGTTTAACATAAGATATTAATTTCCTCTGAGAATGTATTTGTTACGAAAGAAAGTTTATTAATACAACTAATATAGTAAACGAACCTGTCTTAATCAGTGTATGTTTCTAGTAAGAAAGTATTCTTTTGAACAAAAGAGATGTTACTGTGGAGTATAGATATAATTAACGAAACAATTCTAATTTAGTAAGGAGCTTGTTTCAAGATTGCATATTTAAGTTACCGGAAAGGAAATTCTCTCATCAATTGTTCTATTCTTTAACTTATCTCTACCACAATTGATGTGGTAAGAAACTGAATGGATAGAAATGTTGAGACTAATTTCTTGCGTTAGCAACCCTCTTATTTAAATAATGAAATAAAAAGTTAAAATATTACGTTTTTTAAGTTGCCTGAAAAGGAACTTTTCTTTCAACTTTGCTAGACATAAGACGAAAAACCTTGAAAGCGTCACTTTCGCAACTTGAAGAGGGGTTTTGGTGATTAGTTTGAGAAAGTAATGCACCCTATGTTTTTCCTTTTAGGTCTGACAAAAATATTTTTTCCCTTTTTAAGCAACTCTATAAATGTGACTTAATTTTCTTAATATTTATTTCAGAATTTTATTTTTAGTTATGTCTGTTATTTTGCTAATATTGGAAATTGGTCAAAATTTTTGTTTGCAATAAACGTATACTTATACATTGATATCCGACGCAGAGATCCAGTTGTAATTTGATAATCAAACTAGCTAGTGGTCAAAATTTGTATTGACAAGACATTTTTTTGGCGATAAAATGAAAATAAATTATGATAATAAAACTAGCTTATTTATAAGTCGAGAAACGATTACGATAAACAACATAAAAATTAAGTTTAAGAAATATAGCTAATCGGACAACTGTCGAAATTTTGATGGACGATAAATTTCCTTTGGCAACATTATGGCAATAGAATCGGCTTGTAGCGGTCAAGAAATGATTGATTTTTTTTCTAAAATTTGCTACTAACCTACTACTGACCTAATTGATCTTAATTCTTACCGAAAATAGGTTTATTCATAAGATTTCAAACTTACAAATTATATTTGTCTCCATGTTTCCTAAATTTTAATCAAGATTTTGCTGACAGTTCAAAACATTGTTTGACCTTTTCAGAATAAAATGATTGTTGTTTGCGAACTGGGGGAAAAAGTGGAGAAATTTACGATCATTGATTCCATTATTTTGCCTTTATGGAGCATTTGCATTTTGAAGCATATCCAGTAGAAGAGTAGAGAATTCAGATTTTAAAAAAGTTTTTTGACTTCTCAAATGCTCAAATTTAATGATTTTAATATTAATTTAGTGCAGATAAGGGCTATATTCAAAGATTTGAATTTTGCTTTATTTTGTGCAATAAGATGTTGCCAGCAACGAAAAGAACTAATGCCATTTATAGTTATTGAGAATATATTGTTACGCTTTTAACTAAAATCATAACTTCTATTTTCTTCATTAAAATAGATTGTTATGAGCAAGAAAAAGCATATTCATTGTTAAGCAATATTTTGAGTTATTTCCTGGTCGCATAATTTATTTCCCGTTTTAGTGATCAAAATTGACAGCTCAGATCATGCGATTTATTAATGACGGTGGAATTTTTATTTTACATTTTTTTAGGTATCTGCCATTAGGTTGATAATCAACCATACCTTAAAGAAAATCGAGAGCTGAACCAACGAAATTCAACCTGTCACATTTTTGCAAAGTGTTCCTTGCGATTTTTTTTGTGATTATAATACGCAAAGCAAGATAATGAAGACTATGAATTTGAGCTATTTTACGCGTAACTCTATACTATGTACTAAATTAGGAATGGAAAATGACAATTTTTGTTTTAGTTTTCTACGTAATTTTCTGTTTTCTATGGAAATTGCTTGAATTTTATGCAATTGCACGTAGTATTGCTTTATCAAACATAAATTTTCTTCGCAATTTTTCACAAAATTTTAATTAGTAATTTATGACAGATGTTAAACCCAAAGGTGCCAAGCGTCCTCTTAATGGGACATTCCTTTTTCCAAAAGCA